GAATATAACTCAAAGATTTCAAATTCAGCCTCCAGGTGCGCGTGGTTTCCACATACGGCCCTGTGAGATTTTTCGGCGGGGAAATGGCTAACTCGGGAGTTAGCAAAGCTGGAAAGCTGAAATTATCAGGGAATGTTCCTAGCCTATGTACGACTTAAGTTCATCAAATTCAACCCCAGGCTTGCGCGTTCCCACGCACGGCCCCGCGAAATTTTTTGGCGGGGAAATCGATAACTCGGATGGTTTCCGCCTACGGCCCCGCGAAATTTTTTGGCGGGAAAATGGCTAACTCGGAAATTAGTAAAGCTGGGAAGCTGAAATTTTCAGGGAATGTTCCCAATCCACTTACGACTTAAAGTTATCATATTCAGCCCCCAGGCGTGCGTGGCTCTCGTGCACGGGCACTTAAATTTCTGGCGGGAAATTACTCATTGAACGGCTGGGTCATTTCCAAAAAACTACCGCTAAATGGATATTATTTATTTTTTTTTATGCAGAATTTACGATGAGTTACGGTATTGAGAGCACAAGGTAGGTGTAAAGAAAAACAACCACTCATGCAGTTCACCTAATTATTTCAAAGTCTGGTGCAAAAACGCATGATCGCACCGGCTCGCCTGGTGCATTTCAGCCTGGGTTTGGAAACCCCCAAGGCATTCAACAAGCCGTGCAGAGATACCAAAAAGCTTCACTTTGCCACAGGCCTCAATCTCGACCATGCATACCAAAACAGAGGACGGCGCTATTACTGTCTAATGCCGGCTTCCTGCTAGCTCAGGAACTGCCTCTATCACCTTGTTACCATCTAATCTCTCCCTCCTGATAGCTCTAGAACTATCCCCATCAATCCCGGATTCAATACCTGCACAAAGCACAACTTTCAACAAGTAACATTATCATTTATCATCATGGACAGTTTAGGATATTGTCGCATGAAATTCGGCTCGAGCTAAGTCACATGCCGGATCGATTGTTACTTGATGTATATTTGGATAGAGTAAGAAATAAAATAAGCAAAATGCGAGGAACCCGAAAAAAAAGAGCATCTGAAATACAGAGGTTACAAAATTACAAGAAAAACTTGGCATTCCCATTCCGGGTTCACATGCTGAAGAACCGCAAAATAACTCCGGTGATTTTGATGTGCATTTCTCAGACCCTGTTTCAAGAAACATAAATGTGCCTTTACGTGAAAAGTTCATCGCAATGTTCCAAAAATACAGTTTTATCAGAAATAGTGCGATATCTTCAGAATGTAAGAACACATACAATCAGCTGGACCCCCCCAGAGTGACCACTGGGACATGTAAGATCAACAAATTAAAAACTGCAAAAATAGTAAGACCTGTGAGATCCAGTGAAATCGGCGCATAAACTGAGGCGTGAACTGAAGCACAGCGTCATGCGTCCTCCATCGATCATATTGGGTAAAGCCTGTAAATGAGCTTTTCCATATCAAATGTCTCCTCATTAACATCGATAAGTTGTCACTGAAGGAATTCGAAAAAAAAAAATCCTGCTCTCACTTACAACCAATTTTATAGTCATCTTATAATAAATTACCATTAGATCCGATGCTATCGACGGAGCACAGTGAAGGTGGCGATGAAGGACCAATTGGTATCGCTGTATAAAGACTACCAGTACTTGTTCGCATCCTGAAATAGCTTCTTTCAAAATCAGTCACAATGCTTAATAGAGAACAACAGCTGTTTCGTAAACCATTTGGAAGCAGATTTTTTTTGCAAGAGTTTTGATTCAGGGTTTATCGTCTCATAAAATGATTAAACTGATTGTAGCATCCAGGTTGATTAAAATAATTTAACTAATATGCCAAGAAGAGAGACCAACCTCTGTGCCCTGTCCCGAGCATCATGCATTGCGAGTGGCGCTGGAATGTTAAGATGAGTTGATTGTCGGTGCCTCACACCATTACTTGCCTGGCTTGCAACATGCTTCAACGGTAAAACACCAGCAACAATTGATGTCTCTCTAAACAAGTGACATTTTTGCGCTAAGATGAACCCGGAGGAGCAGCATATCAAGGTTTTCGGTGAGATTATGCTTTTTACCGCTAGGCCTGGCAAACAGTATGAACAGTTGTTGCTTTACAGTTTAGCACGTGCTCAAATACTGGAAATGTTTTTGTCTTTTCTTACATGCAAGGGGGAAAGGGCATCGCCTGGGGCAGCAAGGTTGCATTACGGGGCCGTGTTAAACCTTATCTCCGAAGTGTTATGACTATTATGAATTTTGCGTGAAGGTGCTGTCGGCAAAATGTACTCTCAAGTTCGCCGTATCCGCAGGGAACTTAGACGTTTACAAATGCTAGTTTTATGAGTTCTGTGAAAATTTAGCTTTCGGTCTTATCTAATGAGTTTTTTGTCTTGTCCAAGAAATTTTGCCTTTTAAGCGTTTTTGCTGTGCAGCGCTATAGCGCTGCTACAGCCAGCAAAAACGCATATCGTCGAGAGGCTATCTGTGTGTGTGTTTGTGTGTGCGTGTGTGTGTGTGTGTGTGTGAGGGTGGGTGCGTGTGTGTTTGGGTGTGTGTGTGTGTGTATGTGGGTGTGTGTGTGTGTGTGTGCGGAAAGCGAGTGCATTTTGTCACCCACTTTTATCTCAGCAACCAGGAAAGCTGGGGGGCTGAAACTCTGGACATATGTTCCTATCCCGTGTGTCATCCTCCCGTTTTAAGATCTCTCCTCATACGTACCTAAACCCCCGTACGGGACCCCAAAGAAATTTGTTGGCGGGAAACGATTTCGCGAACCAGGCAACGTGGAAAGCTGAAATTTTGCAGGGATATTCTTTATGCACGTGCGAGATAAAAGTTTTAAACTCAGCTCTCTAGCTCTCCAACCACAGCCTCAAGCAGCTCCTGAACCCAAAAATCGTCAGCAACTCGGACCTAAACCGCAACT